TCTTCCCTTATTTGATATGTTTATACTTTTTGTTGTGGCCTTTACATGAAGAAAAACCACATTTCAAATTATAAAATGATTATATTTTTACATGTTTCTCACCATAAAATGCTGCCAGTGGGGATTTCTTTTCCTGACTGTGTTGGGTGATTGTCTGGAATCTTTCAATATCAGAACCATAATGATAAAACACTAGTTGACCGAAAAAACTGGGTAAAATATGTACTTTTATTCCCACACAGTAGCCTGTTTACAAACGGTGCAAATCCAACTCTATAGGTGAAAACAACCGCCGTATAACAACTTGAGTCTCGAGGTCGTCCGTTTGCGCTCTGCTGCTTTCCCTCTTCACCCGTTTACCGGAGGTGGAATGAAAGCGGGGCATGTGGCGCGGGGCGCTACCTGCCACCAGGCACCAAGTGATTGTGTTAAAGCAGGAAAGCGGTTGACACGCTCCTCATCCAAGGGAGGATTGAGAGTGGCAAGGAGATGTAAAGGAGTGTGTGTGTGATGGCTTCATCTCGGGGAGTCGCAGGCGGAGGCCGCTCACTCAGTCTGGCGCTTGACGTAAAAGCAAAACATATGGGCTGTGACACGTGTACCGGCGTCGTAGATACTCCCAGCAGCATCACATAAACAGTGCGTGAGGTCACTTTAGTCAATCATTGGCGACTTCACTGTTATGTAGCAGATTTTCCGTTCCTGTTAACCAATCATTGACTGTGAGGTAATATCATGACAGAGCTTTATGGGCTTTATGGCTTTAATAACCAGTTAGCCTAGCATGACACCAAGAGGGGACGTAAGGTCACAAGTCAAGTCAAGAGGTAAGAAAATCCACCTGCCAGCACCCCTACAGCTCACTGATCTCCAAATGAATGTGGCCTGTATCTCATTCATTTATTTCATACACAACCCATGTGTAAAAAATAGAATTTTGCTGTTTAAAGTCGGGGCATTATCTTGCAGGAAATGTGTAAACTATTCTCCTTTCTGTTTGCCTTTAATGGTATAATAAACACTCTGTCGACCGCCACCTCACGTCTGCGGAGAAATTTGCTCTGACTTTATGACTGATTCATATTCATAAGTTGCGAGAAAGCAACGCAAATGATTTCAGCCGCAACATGTTCCAGTGGAGTGTCTCATGAAGGAATTATTCAAATGAGCCTCGGTTCTCTTTTTGTGCAGGTGCGGCTGCTGGTTGAACTGGTGTGGCCTCTGTTTCTCTTCCTCATACTGGTGTGGGTGCGATCCATCAATCACCCCATTTACAAAGGCCAATGTGAGTAGAAACATTTCCAGAACAACTCGTAACGTAAACCTAATGCATGTTGTGTAATAAGATGAAAAGATAAACACGTAAGTAATCTGTTCCTGCAGGTCACTACCCAAACAAAGCCATGCCGTCGGCTGGCGTGCTGCCCTGGCTGCAAGGCATGATGTGCAACATCGACAACCCCTGTCTGAGCTATCCGACGCCAGGGGAGGCGCCGGGACAGGTCAACAACTTCGACAACTCCATGTATGTGCTGGGATGTTGAAAATGGAGATGTCCCAATCAGTTTGTATTTTTTTGCCCTTGAGTCATCCCAATCTGACACCATTTTCCTGGATAGTACACACTTATTGGATTAAAGTCAACCCAATGTTCCTTAATGTGATGTTGACGGTCAGGAACCTTGTAGAGTAATCGTGGCCATGTGTTTGTATGCGTGTTATTTATTTATTTTTGTTTGTAAACAGTCTAGAGCTTTACAGGAGAGGAGTTTGAACCTGAAACCTCAAACATGACCTTGGTATGGTCCATCATCGGAGTGGTTAGATTTTGGGGTCAATACATGCATTGGTGAAGCTACAGAGGTCAAAGGTTGCGTTTCCCAAAACAGCTCTGTATGACTGAAAATTCACAAAAAGACATAAGTTTAGACACTAACTTAGGAAGACATTGGAGGCCTATAAACTGGTGATGTAACATGTGACCTTGAGACAAAGGTCATGGTCACACTGAAGGGCTTAATCATCACAAATTTTAAATCCATTGTAACTTGGAGAAGGTGTCAGATAACCACATAGTTTGTTATTACAATCAGATAAGAAACCATATTGGTGATGTGACATTTGACCTTGGACGAAAGGTCAAACTCAAGGTCATACATCTTTGGTGCTTAGCCTTAGGCGTAAATGACAGCAAAACGCTTCCCCTCCATGCAAAACATCTGTGTTACATGATAGACTGAGCTCTTGTTACGTTTGGATCATTTTAATGCAAAATCAAGGCAAATTCATCCTCAAGTAGAATCAGATCAACATGCATACATTGGACAACTATGTCCCTCCACTGAGGCCTCTCTAGTTTACAAGGACACCATCTGAAATGTAGTGTGTGGAGGGCGTTATGTAGCCTCCACAAGCTTTAACAGATGGTAAAAACTTAAATTCTCACCTTTCATGTTAGAAGTTGGCACTTATCCAGCTTGTTTTTGCCCTGACTAGATCTTTGCTCGTGTTGTAGCTGCTCTCAGATGTGCGTTGCTTTGGATAAACATGTCTGCAAAAGGAAATTGTAGAATTGTAGTTGTATTGTAGATTATTTGTAATACCTGATCTCACCACCAGGTGGAACCTCTTACTGTTAGATAAGGAGGCGGTCATTTGGACGGCAGGAAGTTCATGTTGGCTAACAGAGAGCATTGTGAAAGTTTAGCTAGCAACAGGCACCACGACGAAGACTATTGTGGCGCTTAATGACTTCCAATTAGAGCTCATATGTTTAAAAATGACATCAGCTAGAGCGGTGTTGCTATATCGCAGTGGTATACGCAGGAAAATCATTGATTTTTCATTAGAAAAATTAATCAAAGTATGCATCTCAAGCATCCTGCCATGAATTATGCTCTTTATTTATGGCACCCATGTGACGGTGGTTTGTCAGATATCAATCTATTCCATAATGCCTGATCTTTGAGGTCGGATCGGGTTAAACCACAAAGTTCTTCTGATTTTATCCTATTTTCAGAAAGTGTATAATCTTTTTCTTGTCTCTCTGGTGAACCAGAATCGCCGGGATGCTGATCGAGCTGCAAACCTCCCTGGTGGATAAATCCATTCTCACCAAGGCGCGGTCGCTCTCAGACAACGCCGACCTTTGGGCTTCGATGCTGTCGCAGCCCGACCCCGCCGACGGTGAGTCGAATCCTAATTCTGTCGTCGAAATCTCTGCGAAACAGTGACAGTGTTTATGAGAGGACCTTTTTTTATTTTATTTTGAGGCTGTTATCAGAAATTAGCATGGAAATTGGTGATTGGTGGGTATAAAAGTTTAATTGCCACTGAGCAATGTTTCAAAAAATAATTGATATAGTAAATACTCAGCAGCCCCAGCAACAATCACTCTGCTGCGTCTTTGTTAAGTACTCTCCATCAAGGAAAGTATCCCCTTCATGCGGATGACAAGTTGGAGGATTTGTTATTCCCCTTTATCCCTCAAAAACAATGGCGTGTGATTATTTATGATGCAATTTGCCGCGCAGACTGACAGATCGTTTGTCTTGATAAGTTGCGGCTTTGCATTAGGCTCATTTAGCCTGATGATATTCAGATTTTCATACGGCACCTAATTTGCAAAAAGGCAAAGAGGGAGGGCTGCTGTTCGACAAGCGGCTCTCGGGGCATTTGCATTTTGGGGTCGCTGGCTTGTAATATACAAGATTAAATCCATCAAAGATCTGAGCCTGGGCATAATTAATGGGACTCGCTGTCTGAGGCGAGAGCACAAAAGGTCATTAACAAGAATGGGGAATGGAGTACTATCAAAAGACTGCCGTGCCAAAGGTGATTGTGTTGTCCTTTTTTTGTTTTTACCGCCGCTTGATTAAAAAGTCTCAGGTGATCACTTCAATCAGAAAAGGCAACGGTGTTCGGGAAGAGCGCCGAGCGTGTTCTGCTTCCCCGCGATCCGACCCGGCCGACCCCCTCCCGGCGCCGCGCGCCGCATAATAACAGGAATCACGAGGCGTCGCGTGAAGTGAGCGTCGCGTGTGAAAACGGCGTAATTAATCCCGGTTACCTTCGCCAAACATTTATCTTAATTAAACCTCGCATCGGCCGGCGTACGTCGCTTCCTGCCCCGTCCGGGTAGCTCGCTGACTTACAGTGATAATTAAATTACATCACGTCACCCCTTCATCATCTCCACGGCGTCAGGCGAGCGGGAAGCACACGTTAAAGTCACATGATCCCTGCCATGTTTGGAAAGTGGCTCCGATCTGTTGGCAGCTAATCAGGTAAAAACGTGGTTTAGCAACAAATCGTCTCCGCTCGTGCAACTCGAGTGTTGGACCCTCTACTTGCACCAGCGAAGGATTTAATTGTCGAAAGCGCCATTTCAACTCGGTGATCTCAGCAACGTGCATAACAAAACTGCATTTCCCTACGTTTTGCCGTCTTTCTATCAGCGAGGATCACGTTTAACTCAGCAGCTGCACTGCAGTGATTCTGAAGGGAGCGACTTAAGCTTTAACCTTGTCCTTTTCAACAACAGAGTAAATCCTCTGGCGCTTTGTTTAGAGCAACCCTCCATAGTGGAAGGGCTGCGGTCCTGTTAGTTCTGGCTCGCCTCCACGTCTGGCATAGGTGTCTATTAAAGCAAGTGACACAGATTCCTGCCTGCGTTGTGTGTTCACATAGTGAGGGGAGGAAAAATAAAAATGCAGCAGGACGGACGGACAGGCTGCAGAATATCTGCAGTGCAGATGGTCAGTAAAGAGGATTTATGACCAAAAACTACCAACCAGCAGATCAATATCTCTTCAGGTCCTCCACACCTGACCACTTACCAGCATCACACATGTCTACAATCATGGCTCTTACACTCATGCTGACTAACGGCTCTCCGTTTTCCAGCTCAATCAGTCATCTTAAGGAGTGTTTTGAGAGACAATGAAACTTTCTCCGCACATCTGGAGGAGGATTTATCAGCGTCGCCAGCTGTGGTCCAAAGCCTCCTGAATGCCAACATCCAGCTCAACGCGGTAAGTATGATTTCTTCTGGTGAGAAGATTTTTTTTCTGCCTTTTCTTGTAAAGGCCAAAAAAAAAAGCAAAATGTAAATGTTACGAAAATGTTCAAAGGACCGAATGTGCCAAGAGTGGTGCGCTTGAACATCACAGAATGAAATGTTCTGGCCAACAACTGCCCCTGGGACTCTTTGTCTTGACTGTCATAATCAAAGCAATCTCTGGTATTTACTTGACAAAAAAAAAAAAAAAAAAAGTCATTTGAAACTGCCTGCAGTTGGCAATTTAGAATGAAATGGATTGCAATAAGAGTAACGAGTGTCTCGTCTCTAAATGTTTCCCCGTTGATGCTCTGGTATGTTGCGAGTAGTTTCACATTGACTGCAAGGAGGTAATTAAGTTCCAGTGACGAGGAGGCTTAAACACATTTCTTAATGATTCCTCCTGTGTTGGAGGATCTGTAACGGCTGAATTTCTGTCTCTGTGCGCCTACACATTCTATGCATCTGTGTGTGTGTTTGCACGAAATGCTCAGCAAGTCTTATCTAAATATCTGGTTATCTGAAGACACGAGGCTTATTTAAAAGGCAAACAGCGACGCTCTACATCTTCAGCACACTATCAGCTTGCACAACAAGCCGCCGCCAGATGATGAAATCTGCTCAGATGCAAAGTTCCCCTTGTTTGTCAGCTTACACCGGAGTTTGCTGTTTATTTTTTTCCAGGTGATGGACAACCGGCGGCCGGGCAACCTGAGGCGCATCCTGTGCGAGGGGACAGATCTGGATGAGTATGTCCAATTTAGCAGCCAAGCCGAAACGGAGGCTTTTCAAAATGTCAGCTGCTCCCTCAGTCCCGAGCAGCTGATTAACACCCAGCGAGTGCTCCTGCAGAACCTGGACGGGAGGAAAGTGCTTTCTGAGGTGAGGCCCGACGCCGCCGACACACCTCGCCGCTAATTTGATGAAACCGTGCGTCGGAACTCCCAATGATTTTAACAAATCTTGCAGGGATAATGCGTTTGCGCTGATTAGTCTGTTAGGAATTCTGGAGTTATAACACCGGCCATAATGTCTACGTTTAAACATCGCTGCTCAGCAAGGTCACCCACATCTAGCATTCTTACAAATGGCACTGTCTGGACTAATGAAGGTGGTATTAAAAATGTAAATTGAAGCTTCTGTAATGTCTCAGCCGCCGCCGCCGCTGCTGCTGCTGCAACTCACTCATAGCTTGCATTTTAACCTTCACTTTAAAATCAAATTGAAACGACTGCAGGGCTCCAAACTTGGACTAAATTAATGCGTATGTGACCAATTTTGTGAAAGTTTAAATTTCTTGCGGTCGCAGCTGTTAAAAATAGGACTTTTTTTTTTTCCCTTCCTCGCCGGCTGAGTCAGTCGTCTCCCTACCTGAAGTACGAAACAATCCGTTCAGCTGCTCCTGTGATGAAGCATCTGCAGCTGATTATTTCAACAAAACAAAATGAGGAGAGCGAGGAGGAGGAGGAGGCGACTGGAGGAGAGGTGTGAATCAGATGAATAGATTCTGACTGAGCAAGCGAAGAAGGAAAAAAACACTACAGTCAATCACAACGGCTAATGCGGCACTCCAGCTGAAATATTAAATACATTCCAGCAACGATTATGAGTCGAGTGTGATGTTTAAAGTTAAAAATGCTCATAGAAATGGTTCCAACTTGGGGAAATCAGACATTACAGTGCCGTCGTTTGATATTTTTCAGCTAAGTTTTGATCACACGTTAAAAATCAACACCAAATTATGCTAAGAACGTTGCTAGCATTGGTGCTAATGGTGGAAAAATGAGTCTGGAGCCCTGCACGAATCAGTTAAACATGAAACCAACCTTGATATTGCAGCTGTTGTGCTAAATTTGACATTTTTCGAAGAGAAAAGCTAAATTTTTTGGGGGAAACAGTGTTTAAGAATTTAGTCCCTTGGTGGGCGTTTCCCAAAAACTCCCATGATGCACCAATGACTGGAGCATTACAAACCTCTGTCGTCTCAGATCAACAATGTGCAGCAAATTTTTAACTTTTAAAACAGTCGTAGTGCTTTTTGGTGATGTTCTGCCAGTTTTTCACAAACAACCAACATGTTTGTGAGAAACTGAAGCTTCCGTTCTTTATTTTCTATTTTCTTCAACTAACAGCCAGAAGTTATGGTTTGGTCTTCTTGTATCGCCGCTTTTAGATTCAACCCTGTGGGCTGGTCTGGCTTGTTTTAGCCGTTTTTCATTCGCGAGTCGAGATTTCATGCTTGCAAATGATCACAAACTGTCCTGCGACTGTTCATTAAAAAGGATAAAATACCGAGAAATACTAAGAGCTGCTCACAACATCTGCCCCACAGCTGGTTAACCGTCACCAGAGGTGATATTACAAACTGTTTTTAATGCCCACCCACGTGTATTTCAGCAATTTAATTAAATAGCTGCCAGAATTCACTCGAAAAATTAAAAAAGCACACATGCAAAACCACTCAGTTAATGAATAAAAAAAACCAGAACAGGAGTAGTTTGAACATATGTACAGATTTCCTGATAAAATTTGTTTTAATTACACTTCACTTTGCCTTCAGAGAAAGCAAGAAGACATGGCGTCTAACAGCTCCCACAAAAAGAGAAATACTGCATATTGTTTTGTGAAACCTTGTGTAGCTTCGCGCCGTTACTCACCATTGGTTTCTTAACTCCAGAGGCGGCCCATTTGTTCAGGGCAGTCAGTAAAAATGTGGTTCTTCCGCTGAGAAAATCATTCGAAGCCACGAGGCTGCCCTGTCCACCTCGCGCTGCTGAAATTGATGGTTACGGCCATAAATTATCGGCTGTGATATTGTGACTTTTACACCTAAGCAAAAATGAAATGCCAAGGCAGTGCAGGGGAGTTTGCCCAAATCCCCCCTTACGTGTCTTCTTCTTTTTTGGCATTTTCCGTGTGAGATCGGTTGTAAATTGAGAAACAAATAAGGGAAAAAAACCAAAATGTCCACGCTGGGTTATGTTCATCCGATCTGTTACGTGCTGCGAGATGAGACAATCTCCACATCTGAGTACAGTTTGGAAGTGTTGTGAGCGCACAGTCTGCTCTATTATTCTCGCATGACTTGCAGCAAATTGAATACAAAGACAATGATATCTGTGCCAGCCAATTGGCTAACCAATTTAAAAAGTTAAGCGTTTCGCTTGTCTGGCTCCGCGACTTAAAGACATGAAGAAAAGCCAAATCTCGTTAATGAATCCTCAAGGCCGAACCTAAAAGCTCTTATTTTGTGTTAGCACAATTATCTTGATGTTTTATTTTTATTTATATATATCTTAGACTTTGGATAATTTTCCGTCTCTACAGAGTCTAAAAAAAAAAAGCTTTCAAACTCGTCACTGTCAAGTGTCTCCTCCAGTGATTTTACTAGAATACATGCAATCAGGTGGGAATTATTTATTAGAACCAATGTTTTCTTGAATTCTTTTAAATCTCTCGGCTCCCTCTGGGATGATGAAAGCCTGCACTTTTCTTTGACTTTATCTTTGAGAGAAAATATATGGGACAGCAAATCCAATAAATAAGTGATAAGGCAGGAAGTTCGTAGGAGAGAGCATTTGAACAATTTAAGCCCACAGGCATTTTCAGACGGGGGAAGAGAGAGGAAAAAAAAAAAAAAAAGAGCCGAGATACGGTGGAAAAGCTCTTCAGCGCCTCAAGCAGATGGATGGAAAAAGAACATCAAGCCTTCACACTTAAGGCTCGACGTCGCTGAATGATTGCGATAACGGCAACAACAACATAAAGAAAAGGACAAGGGAAGAAGTCGCGGTTTATCACCGGGGTTGTGAGTGGCAGAGGGTGATTTAGATGTTGCTTTTGTTGACATTGTGTTTGGGGAAATCATTTCAGAAGCCGCTGCACTCGGAAGGCGGTAAACAAAAAAAAAACCAGCGGCGGGTCACTCAAAATGCCGAGGCGCCCTTTTGTCTTCCTCAGCCCGACGAGTTGTTTTATTCTGAATATTTATCGTTAAATCATCCCCGTTTAATGAGCTCGTCTGAAAAGAAACGCACTCAGTCGCCGGAGTAAAGAAAACTCCGGCGGAAAGCGAGCTTAACCGGCGAGTTTGAGGAATCTGTTTCGCGCCGCGACTCACTCCATCTGCCTCCTAATGTGACAACGCCGAAATCTCTCCCTCCATCCATCACTTACAGGTGATTTTCAGCCGTTCTGCCATAAATTGTCTGAGACTGCGGCGCTTTCCCACTCCATCTCCTCCTTTCGCCCGTCCTCCACTCGCTAACAGCAAAAGTGATCCTAAATGAATATACTCGAGACTCAATCAGCGGCCCGGCTATTGTCGAGAGAGACTGCTCTTGAAAGGGGGCTTCTATTTCTGAGGAGAGTTGTGTTTAAAAATCCTAATGCGGCGTCGCCCGATCCACTCTTCTTTAAGCCTCTTTCGGCCCCTCTGATCTCCCCACTTCTACTCTTTCTGGACCTTTGTCCCGCATACGAAGCTTTTTAAAAAACTTTATGCTCTGAAAGACAATGCAGGCGCCCCGAACGCAGGCTATTCCTGACACTTGACGCATGGAAACAACCGTGGTTGAAAGGGCACGCCATTTAGTTCTTCTAATTGGACCCATGCTGCGTACCTCCAGAATGTCACCGCAACGCACAACAACACTCGTCACTTTAATGCAACTTTTAATTACCGGCGCCGGGGATGATGATGTTGCAGGATGCGATTTACAGGTCAGGATGCACAGATTGCCGTTATGCAGTAGCTTCGATAGAATGAGGCGATACATCTACGACCGGAAAGGGCTTGGAAAAGTGTCTACACGTGCAGTACTGCTGGGCGCCTCTAGGGGCTGGATCCAAAATGGTTTTACTCCCATTAACTCCCATTCAGAAATCATCATAAAAATCAAAGTAAATGTTATTTTTCCGCCATTCATCATGATTTTTTTGGTTAAATTCACTCGTCTTGATCAGTTTTCTGGTGATAAATCTTTAAATAATTCAATAATTAGGTAGAAATGAGGCCTCAAAGTGTGAACATTTGGTACTGAGGCTGGCTTGACTGAGATTTCTGGTCAGGAGGGATCATTAGCGTCACACAGCGAGGTCAAATACAATTCAGTTTAATTAAAATCTATTGAAAAACGCCAATTAACAACCCTCAGACCCGCCTCTTTCCTCCAAATATGGTCACTTCAGGCTCCACAAACTCCCAATATGGCGACCAGGAGCTACCTTTGCTAATCATGCGTGTTATTTTTAGCATTTTTTAAAATTCCTACATACTTTCCACATGTTATTATTTTCTTGCTCATGGTTCCTATGCTGCCCTGTTAACCGCCAACTATTTGGACTCTCCTTTAGTTACCTTCAACTCTGAGCTCAACGGACTCGGCGACCCTGATGAGGAAAACCACCCAGGATGCTTTGCAAGTGTTCAGAGAGGTCGGTGTTAACATACATTTAGAGCAAACCGGGTTTACGCCCAACGACAAAAAGTGTCTTCTGACTACCTGTTTTCCTTCTTTCTTGCGTCCAGGTGGCCAGGTTGCAGAACTCCATGGTCTTCAAGGCTGCACGCTCGATGGATTTCCAAGCGGACATGACTGGCAGCATCAATATGCTCCTGTGTGGAAAGGAGGCCGACTTCAATTCCACCACTATGACCCTCAGTTTACCCTCACCTAGACAGATGGCTAACAACAAGTCAATTTCCATTATGGCCAACAGTTCCGGTAAGTGCTGCAGCAAGCTCTTTTTATAAAGCAAAGCTGTCACACGCAGCACTTGTGTCTTAATCATTTATCTATATTTTAGCGCGACGCCGCTATATGGAGTCATGGTAGCTTGGAAATGGAGAAAATTCAGGGACCAATGGTGCATAATGTGCTGTATCACCCGACATGGCAATTGATTTGTGGTAATTTTGCAACCGCGGGGATAACTGTGTCGCGTTTATGAAATGGAGAAGAGTGAGTGTGTGTGGCAGAGGGTGGAGAGGCTTTTTTTTAATGCTGCGTTTTATTATGTTTTGATAATTTAGTAAGATCGAATAGCAGAACCACTGAGGCCTTGATATTGCACAGTCTGGCAATAAAGACGGCATTTATTTAAATTAGAGGTGAGGACAAACCCTAGAAACAGTCACATTACATCAGACTGAAGCCCAGCCCCAGTGTTTCCTGTTATCAAAACATGCATGCAGGTGAGTGGGAAAAAACAAAAGATGGATTAGTGGTGCACGGTGCAGCCAACTGTGCCGGATGTGACCACTTGTGCACGTCCAGGAACAAGCACCTGTGGCACAGTTGGCGTCTCCTCCAGAGCTGGAAACCGGGTTTGATTAGGAATACATTATTGGCGACTGTGTCAGGGCCTGGCAGCGGCCGCGGCCAATCAAGCCGGCTCTCCTCGATCCATTTAAAAGCTTCGTACGCCCCACACGGGGGCATAATGATGTTTTCTTAATGGAGAGGAAAGTCCGGAGCGGCTTATCCCGAGTGGAAATTAATGCCGTTGTCTGGGTGGCGTAGAGTCGTGAGGCGCAGTTATGTGACATCTTAAAAATGAACATATGGCAATCCGAAACTTCCCACAGAGCACAGATGGCGCCGCTGGAACTCTGCTTTTGGAGTTATGAACTATGTGCTGTTTGGAAACAGTCGCGGCAGCCATATTGTCAGCATTTGTACTCTCAAGTGCCGTTTGGATTTCGCCGAGGCTGCCTCTGTTTGCCTTCCAGTGGTGGAAACGAGTGAGCGGCGGTCAACTGAAGGGCGGCCAAGTTCAAGCCACGACCTCTGTTGAAAACTCGCTCCCAACCGTCTGCGGAAAGCAACAATCGGTTGCATAAAAATCAGAGAAATTTGCAGCGATTTCACCAGCAGTCGAGCGTTACGATGCAGCAGAGTTGGGGGAGAGATTCAAATCCCTGCACATGTCATCGTCTGTCCTGGTGATGTGCAGCGTGTAAACAAGCCAACATGGCGACCTGGAGCTGTGTGCTCTGCAGCACTGTGGTGCTACTTATGAAAGATTTATTCCAAGTAGCCACACTGATACACTGCTTCAAAAATCTCCAACTCGACACCCAGACTCAGTGTTTGTAGGCGGTGAACGAGTGTTTGTTTTGTGTTAATTAACAAAAAGAAGATGCACATTTTGTATCCTTGAAGCAACTGTGTCTGCAAACTTCTACACTGCAGCTAAACTGCATTCATAATTACGCTTTGAGGGGAAAGTATGTTTGCAGCGTATCACAAACACGTTTCTATCTTTGCTGTTGCCAACAAATTGTATATTCGATGAGCCAATTCTCCCTGAAAATGGAGAAAACGCTGCAAAACATGCAGGAAAACGGACGTCTTTTAACCCAAACTATAACTTTTCGGACCACGACGGTTTCTAAATCCGTCATCGAGCATGCAGTTTAGTTGTTTAGTGCTGTAATGTTGTGGAGACTTGTTTGCTTGAGGTGTGTTTTGGTAGCATTAATGTGTGCAGCGGTTGAGGACAATGTGGTTATTTGTTGACCGTGTTCCTTTCAGTTTAAACTCAGTCAGAATGCGGTATAACTGCAGTGCACAACTCCCAGAAAAGGTGACTGTGCTCGTGTCAGAATGGAGCGAGGTCCTACTGTGAGGACTCAACAGCAAAAATAAAGACAGAAAAAGCAACTATGCTGTATCTGTCACAACGTGGTCTAAAGTCTGAAGCATCAAGGCGTATTTAAGCGACTCCAAGGCCAATGAACCCTTCACAATTTTAAAAATGTACATCCTACGTCCCCCTTATTGGCTCTGAAGCAGTGGCAGCTCTCTCCTCTCACTATTTCAGCGCTGTCCTGCGTTGGCTATATGCTGCTGTATGTGTCCGTCCTGTAATAACATCATCACAGCGCCGCTCTTGACCCCGCTGTTTTCTGCCAAACCCTCCCAACCCGCCATGTAGGTCAGATCTGTGCTCGTGTACCGTGTCAGTAACTGTGGAAAGACCGCGGCGCTACATCGTTTAGCGTTCCTCCGGATTGTCTCGTACTCGTCGAAGCATCTTTCAGGTCAGGCGGCGGATTAGCGCCGTGTTCTCGACAGCCAAGCGGTGTTGAAAATCTCTGCTTTTGTAGAATATCCGTGTTTTATTTTCCCGACGAGCCCGCGGGGGGGAAAGAGGCGTTACGGATTATCTCACACCTGAATGTTTAAAACAAGACCCGACCCGACCCGCTGTCTGATCTTGATGTACGACTGGATCCTCTTAGACTAGCTAACTGCTTTTTTTTCATCATTTGCACCTGTTTAAGAGCACCTGATTCTATTTTTACTCATTTAAAGGATGGTAGCGTATGATGTGTTTGTCTTTTTTCTGGTTTAATTCTCCAAATATATTCTTAAAACTACGGTTTATTTAGCAGCTAATGCTCAACCTTTCTCATATTTTTTAAATAATACATATAAAGGTGCAAATATATCGTAATTTATGCATTTGTTGATGTCGTAATGTGCACATTTTTTTCCTTAATCTGATTTAAATGACTGTCCAGTAGATATTTTACGGTACCAATCTTTTGTTTTTTCTCCGTGCCCCCGTATTGAAAAGAAAACAGTAAATATAATTAACACAACAACTGTAGGAGGCGAAAATCACCGTTTTTTTTTTTTTTTTTCTTTCCACACAAGCCTTGAGAATTAGATCCTGGATGTAACTTCTCGCAGCCTCGCGCTCATTAGAGACCGCGCGAGTCCTGTTTCATTAAACGCCTGTTCTTTGGAGAAAACTGCGCAAAATTAGATTTTAATAAGAAGCCTCTATTCCCTGGGAATAAAGTTGCACAGCTAAAGTGGAATCGCATGCTAGTGCCAGTGCAAATTAGCAAAAACACTGTGTCTTCCTTACATAATAAGCAGGAACGTCTCTGTTAGCATGCTAATGGCTGTTTGGGATTTTCGTCGTGGCATTTCACTGGCCCGCTCTACGTACGGCTAAATGGACCCGGAATATGCAATGTGTCTGCATAATGGCCAATTACAACTCCTTTGTAAGTGTAAAAGTACACTCGAAGGAATAGTGAAATAGCAATAATAAAGGCCAACAGCGAGGTTTTGTTAAGGGCTCAGTAATGTTCCCTTCTCAATTAAACGTCGACAACAACTTCTGAGTCGTTATACAGAATAGTTGGGGCGGCAGCTGCTCTTCCATGACACTGTTTTTTAGAACTTGCCCAGTCGGTGTGCAATAATAGGAAGTGAGTACATGTTTCTGAAATATCACATACGTACAGTTAAAGTTTTTGTGGAAGCAGATTTTGCTATAAGGTTTTGCGGCTCCTCTGCTAGTAGTTTTTGTTGCTGTTGTTAAACTGAATATTATCCTTTACCTCCACTGGACGACGGCTGACTGGACTTCTTCTTCGCCGTAGCTGCAGCGTCGCCTTCAAATGTGAATATTCAGTCTTTCTCTCAAATGAACGAATCTGTCAAAAAAATTTGCATTTTTCAACTTTCATTGTCCCAGTTTTCGGCTGTTGTGACTTTCCTTTACACCGTTCCCTAATTACCCCGGGACCGTCATCCTCTGAGCATTTGGTGTGTCTTGGCATAATTAGCAATCGGTGGCGTTTATTTTTAGTTTTAAGAGCGGCCGTGTCGGAGCCACTGAAGGCACAGTATCGTGGCAGTTGTTGGTGGCGAGGGCGGCCCGCCTCGTACCGCTGAATGTTAAAGAGGCCTCCCCGCGTCTCTGGTGAGAGAGCGACTTCAGTGACATTTATTCAAGCTTATTTGACTTTCTGTTGAAATGCTGCGAGACAGCGATAGATTTGTACCGCTTGTAAGAAATAAGCGCTGCCGCTTTGATGCATGGGGTGGTTCACTCGGACCGGCATGACTGGCATGTCGTATTTGGTGTACGTGTGGGGATGTCTGTCTGAGGGAGTTCGTGCTTGTCTGCCGCTGATTGCGTGAAATGCCTGAAATATGAGTAATGCAAACTCAAAGCAATGTCCTTCCCCCTTTTGTGCGTGCGCGCACGTGCCTGTCCGCGGTTGTGCCTGTGTGTAGCAGCGGCGGCGGCGTTTTCGGCGTGCATCGACGCCGCTGTCTCGCTGTCGTGCTGAATTGAGCCCATCTCCAGGGTACAGCTCAAATTGATTAAATTTGCCAGGTAAGTTGAGGGGCTGACTTGAGGCTCCAAGCAATTATTTGACTGTGGCTAAACCTGGTGTAAAGAAGAGATTTTTTTTATTTTATTTTTTTTCCCATCCTTCATTCAGACTGCTGTGTTGTAATAAAGTTCTGTTTTCAGAAAGAGCGACACCGCTCCGGATAATGTGTAACCTCTGTAATCTGATGCTCCCTTTAGTACACAAAATACAAAAACTGATATATCTCTCCCACGGGTACAAGGATAGCTGATATCGGAGTGCTATGCATTTGTCACTGCCATCGATATTCGCGCTTTATTGTTGAGTGGAGCTGTCTGTTCTCATAATCGGCTCTCATAATCAGAGCACTTTTTATGAAATAAGGAACCATGCTGTATATAAAAGACGAGGTGTCAAGAGAAGTCGACCCGATGCAGACACTCATATTGCAGAGAGCTAAAAATGTGTGAGCAAATTCTGAATAGACGCCTGCTGGGCTTAGGGATGCAGAAATTGGTTTAGCGTACAGCCGAGGTGAGTGCATCGCTTTAGAAGGACTATTAAAGGGCATTCCCCAGAGCTGGAAAGTGAATAAAC